AGTGCTTCAGAAAAGAGGGATGTGGGCGGCCAGAAACCCTGAAGAGGCTCCAAGCCCCACCGCAGCACCAGCACCCACCCAAGAGCGAGTAAAGCCTTATGGTACCGAGTGTTGGCAGGCAGACAGGTAAGCAACGGCTGGCAGGGGACGTCACTTGGAAAACTGGCTTCGCTGAAGAGCACAGGGGCGGAGGAAACGACGCGGATGAAGTGCTTGAGAGAACGTGAGGACCAGAGTTTGGATTCCCCCCACTCAGGTAAAAGTGAGAGGGCAGGGGCTCCGTGCAATCATCGCTTGCGTGCGGACCCCTCGTGCAGTGCAAGAGGACCACGGACGGGGCTCTCGTACCGCAGTCCTGCATGTGTTTTCCTACCTTGATGGCAACCGGCTATCACCTCTACACATGCTGCGTGGTCCACCCCACCCCAACACCCTGTTGGCATATCCATGCCTCTGAAGCCACCACGAAGGATACCTGAAAGCCGTACATCACCAATGTGTCCAGGGAGGGAGGAGCAATAACCCCGCCATCCACATACTGGCTAGTTTTAATCATCAACTTGGCCAGTCATCTGGGAAAGGAGTCGCGATGAGGAACTGACTGTAGATTAGGCTGGTCTGGGGTGTGTCAATAACCATCAGTCAGTCTGTCCCACCATGAGCTAGCTGCCCTAGGGGTAGCTGACCAGTGCCAAGGAGCATCCACCTCAAATCTCAGGACAGAGCTGAGATTTTACTCCAGGTCTGGGTGGAGTCCGTTGCCAGGTCAGAGGGTTCTCAAGCTATGAACACACATCTAAGGGCTGGTTTATACCACTTCTATGTGTGTGGCTTCTAGCATCTCTGACACCAGCCACTGAGGGTCCCTTCTCCACCAAGGGACCTGGGAGGGTAATGTCCATCCCTGTCCTGTGACTCATGTCATCGTCACATTTACTGGTCAGACATAGGCCTCAGGAAGGCTCTACAGCTTGGCCAATGCTTCTGCAGCTCCGTGGCAGGATTGGAATCTGACTCCTAGGTGAGAGGGCCAGCTCTCCAGGCCAGAACACTGGCAAGACTCACAGAGGCCTCACTACCAGGGGCATGATGGCTGCCCCCAGGGCCTGCTTAGACAGGAGGAGGGAGGGCGGTGTAACCCCAGCAGTGACACAGCTCCTCAGTGTGCATGCACATGCACATATGCACAGGGTGGGGCTCTCCTGGAAAAGTCACAGGGAGGCAGCGGGCCCCATCCATCCATCTGAACATTGCAGGGGTCCTCAACCTCCCTCCCTGAAGGGACACTGAGCAAGTTTACTCTGGAAAGTCTGGTTCCCAGTAGCTTGGGGAAAGACTGGGCAGGGCTTCTAGTCAAGGGCCCAGGGGTAGAGGCTCTGCCTGCCCAGCCTGCAGTTTCTGTCTCTTACTGTGACTCACACTGGGCCTGGGAGGGACGCTACAGTGCCCACAAGCCTGGTGCCCTCTCCAGCCTCGTGGCCTTTGCCTATGACAAACCACACCCTTCCCCACCTCCTTAGCTCTGTGATCTCCTCAGTTCCCAGCTCTTTCCATGGGTGCTTTCCTAAGACCCCAACTCCCAAGACTTCTTCCTGAATCAGAGGACAGCTGCCGACCGCCATTGTGACCAGGGCAGGAACCCAGACAGCAGTGTCTACATTGGTTGAGTTCCCACCAGGTCCATGGGGGCTCAATGGGTGCCAGGTTCTCAATGACTACTCATGGATGACTTGATACATTCACTGATGAACCAAGGGAGTGAGTCTCAGGCCTCCAAGTGCTCTGGGGCACCAAAGTGGTACTTAGGAAAGTACTGCATGACCTCAACACAAAGGGCAGAGCTCACCAGGAGCTGGCCAGGAGCTGGGGCACCTCTGCCTTGGTAGCCCCGGCTGAACCATGTGCCTACCTGAATTCTTCTTTCCCATCTATAAAATGGGGGTGGTTTCCAGCCTAACCCTCAGCTGGCATAAAGCTAACCCCCTTCTGAGGATGCCCCCCTTGATCATGAGTTACGAGACCCATGACCCACGATGGTGCTCCTCTGTCCCTTCATCCAGACATACCTCAAGCCCTGCTATAATGTAGTGGCATCGTCTTCCCATGACACAGTGGGACCAGAGGGGCTGCCTGGAGTGGTGGTGCCTTCACTGTCACAGCCTGTGTGTGCAGCACACTGCCAGAGACGCAGCCTCCCCAGCGTGCGGGTCCCAGAGGAGAGGGGACAGCTCTCGGGACTAATTCTGCGGCACAGCAAAAGCAGATCCAAGCAATCAGCTCATAGCAGCTGAAGGTGTGGTGAAATACTGCCATTTTATCAGGCTGTGTGTCACCTCCTGCCACCTGCTCCCAGCCCCAGGTGGCCTCAAGGAAACAGATGCGAGGCCAAGGAAAGCCTGGTCCTGAAGCATGGACAGACTGAGAAATACAGGGGCCCCTCCCCCAGCCACACCTCCTTTCGTCCCAGTTCTAAAGCCCATTCCAACAGGGAGTGTTCTGGATTCCATGGAGCTCTTTCAGGAGCACAACTGCACAGTTTGCTGCCCCCCTGCCACCCCCCCCCCCACATCCTATCCATTCATGTGCTCCTGCTGACAGAGGTCTGTGACCAGGATAAAAGGGCCCCTTGATCGCTGGGCCTGGGGGAAGCCAGGAACTAGAGAGGCCAGTAATGTCCACATTGAAAGTCACAGTGGGGCCACTGGTGGCTGGAGTTCAAAGCAGCTGAATAGTAGCTGAACTGGCAGCTGGCCTCCCCCAAGCCAGCTCAGTGACGGGCTATGACCTCCCTTGGACAAAGGATCACACACCTAGGAAGCCCTAGTTCTGAGCCACCCAGCTGACTATCAGGAGGGCTCTGATGAGTCTGGCGGCTCAGTGGTCAGACCCTGAGAGTCCTGCCCACCTCCCTCAACCCCCTCATCCTTGTTACTAGACCATGTAGGAAGGGCATCCTATACAAGCAAATAAAACAGGTCTCCATCCTCTGAGCACTTACGGCAATTGCCGTGGGTTCAGGGGAGCCCTCTGACACCTTATGGCCACCAAATAGAGGAGAGCACACTGCCACCCCTTTTCTGAGAGGTCACCCAGTGATACCCAAGGTCACACAACCTTCAAAATGTGGGGCTAAAATTAAACTCAGTTATTTTGGTCCCCAAGCATACGTCTAACCTTTACAATGCCTTTTTTTAAGGTGGAACTTGTGTGTGGGTATGTGGGTATATGGGTGTGTGTGTAGTGTATCATGAGTGTGTGTGTAGCGTGTGGTGTAATATGTGTGTGTGTATATATATAGTGTTTGTGTGTGTGATGTGATGTGACTAGTATTGTGGAGGTGTACGAGTGTGTGTGTGTGTGTGTGTGTGTGTGTGTGTGTGTGTGTATGCAGTAGACTGTAAGCCACATAGCAAAGAGCCAGTCCTGATTCTTGACCTCATACACAGAGCCTCCACCTCTCACTGGCCCCATTCCACCTTCGCCCTGTCCAGACTGTGCCAGCCTCAGGACCCAAGCCTTTGCTCGCGCCTCCCATTATACCCTCCTGCTGAGCTGCTGCAGGAACCGGCTGCTCCAGACTGGCCTGGCAGCCTCAGCCACCGTCTCACCTCCTTGCTCTTGGTTTCAAGTCCCACACATCCTTAAGTGCCCAAAGAACCTTCACAGACACCAGAGAGTACATCGAACCCTAAAGCATCACAAGCCCCAGGCAGAGACAGCAGGACCCTGGAGAACAGGTCAGGCTGGCACTGCCTCCCCTCCTGGGCTTTCTAAGATCCAGAAAGCCCCATAGCCTGCATCAGCCTCCGACCACAAGGGGGCATCAAACACAACAGTCCAGATTCCCCAGATGTTCTGTGTCTGCATGGCTCACCTAGAGACCTTCACCCTGCTGTATCTATGTCCAGTCAGTACCCTCTGCTTCCCTGCCTACGTGAACACTTGTCCTCTCCCAAGGCTGGGGTCATCCATCTCCTCTGAAGTGCTTCCACTCACCCGGCCAGCACTTCCCACCCTATGGCCACTCAAGGGCCAACAGATCTGTCTACTTATAGAAAGATCTAACAAACCGGCCCCACGAGAGCATTGTGAAGGCTTCAGTCCATGGACCAAAGCCATGATGCCACAGCCAGCATCACCACCATCTTGTTCATCACCTGATCATCACCACCACCATCCTCGTCGTTACCGACCTCACCACCACCATCATCATACCACCACCACTGCCGCCACCACGACATCACCATACCCAGCACCATAATTATGACTACCGCTGTAATCACCATCACAACCACCTTCGCCATCATCGCCATTGCAGTCAGCAGCCGCACCCTTACAGTGAATACCACGTCACAGACACACTGACCATCACAAAGACAGTCCGGACCCATGGTCACTCTGAGCACCACCCAACCCGGTGAGTTCTGAGAGAAGTCCCAGCCTATCCCTGGGTCTCCGTCAGAATAAGGCTTCACTGTGCATGTTTTCAAACAGCTGCCGTCCCCACACAGAAACGTGTGTGGTGAATCCAGCTGCAGATCCCACATGCCTTTCTCCAGTTAGGTGGATCAACCATCTTCCCCACGACCACACACCGTTCTGTGGGAGGACAGAAGACAGGCAGAAAGGGAAGGTCCCTAGTGCTAAAGGATCATGTTTAATGTCTGAAAGCCAGGAAGCCCCTCCCCTGCCTGTCTGTGTCACCATAGACGGTACAGGGAGTTAGAGACAATGGCACCTGCCTGTGTGTGAAACAGAGGATATAAGTGATGTCACCCTTCCTTGATTCCAAATGGGAAACTGAGGCCCAGGGGTAACAGTGCCCTGCCTGAGGTCAGACGCAGAGTGAGAAAGGCAAAATGAAGTCCCAGATCCTCTGTCCCTTTTGCACTGGCCCTGAGCCTCAGCTTTGGGTCCCTGGCACCTCCAGGAGACCGGAGTCACCGCCACCCGCTCTCTCGCCGTAACCGGTGGTGAAGATGGGGGCCAGGCACACTCACCACGGGGAGCCGTAGATCCTGAAGCCACGCACGGTGACCTCCGAGTCCTGCAGGTAGATGCAGTTGGTCAGCAGCGACTGGACATTCTCATAGTTCTCCGGCTTCAGCTTGGACACGGACGGGAAGTAATAAAAGTCCTGCTTGATGAGGTCAGCCATGAACTCCTGGTCGAAGGTCAGCTCGTGGTTGCCCGCAATCACGATCTTGTACTCGTAGGGCAGGCTGCCTGTGGGGTGGACACGCACAGAGCAGGCTGCTGGCGGCCCTTCTGGAAGCCACAGAGCCATCAAAGGGAGAGAGCTGGGAACGTCCCCACCCCCATCCTGTGCTGTGAATTAGAGGAGGCAGAGGCCCCATCCCTGCCCCTGGCTCTGCTGTCCATTAGTCCTTGAGCACAGGAGCAGGGGTCTCCCCACACCTAAGCTGCAGGGTGCCAGCCTCGCCCTCTCTGCTTCCAGGCTGCCACCAAGTCCCTCAGCTCTCTCCATCTTGGGCTCCTCAGCCTACACATCCCAACAGAAACTGTAGCGCCCCATTCAGACCTTCAGAGATGCTGCACCCAGGAAACCCCGAGTGCCCAGCGGCACCGACATGGAATTCACAGTCAAAACAAGGTCCAGAAATGCCCGACCCTTGGAACGCTACGGGGTGACGTCACCCACATAGTTCACACCGAGAACTACACGATCAAGTTACAAGCTACAAAAACACGAGCTGGGTGGTGGCAACGCACACCTTTAATCCCAGCAGAGGCAGGCGGATCTCTGAGTTCAAGGCCAGCCTGGTCTACAGAGTGAGTTCCAGAACAGCCAGGACACAGAGAAACCCTGTCTCGTTCGTAAATAAATAAATAAAACAAGTTACAAAAAACCAAGGATATAGCCTTGGAGTGACAGGGCCATGCCTACGTACAGGCCCCCCACCACCCCATCAGCCCAGAAAACGCCATTCTCCCTGCCCTCGCTCCATGCCCAGGCTCCACGCTGCTCAGCCCTCTGCCTTGGCTGCTGCGCTCAGGAAGCTGTGATGGCTCTGGAAGCCCCAGTTTGGATAAAAAAACAAAATGTTGGCTGTGGAGATAGCTTAACTGATGACATGTTTGCTCTGCTTTGCTGCAGCCCCGGAACCCATGTTGTGTTGTTTTTAAATCCAGGTCTGATACTTGATATCCCAGTCATAGGGAAGTGGGGAGGGGTGGGACCCTGGGCTCAGTGGCTAGCTGGCCTAGCCTACCTGCTGAGCTCAGATCAATGATACATCCTGCCAAAAAAATCAAGGCAGAGAGTGCCAGAGGAATGACATAGAGACTGACCTCTGGCGTACGTACACACACACACACACACACACACACGCACGCACACATGTACGCACGCAAATGCAAACACATACAGCCTACATGTGCACATTCACAGAAGAACCAAGTTTGGTCTGCTGTCTGTCTTCTCAGCAACCCACACTTAGGATTTAGAATCAGATTCAACAACTGTGTTGAGACTCGGCCACGCTGTGCACTCTGGGAAGAAGCCTGATTCCACCCTCAGGGGTCAGCCAGGACAGGCAGGTCAGGCTTAGGGCCTTGTGACAGGTGACACACTGTGAATGTATTCACTCCCTACTGCATAACCCGCGAAAGACAGAAAGGTGAAAAATTCAGGGGACACGAGAACGGAAAGGAGCCCCTCACCCACCGAGTCTACCTGAAGCTTCTCGCCAGCGGAGGACCCAGGTTGCCGACATAGTCAGTGTCCCTTTCACACGGAGATCCTCTAAATGACATTAGCGTGGCAGCGAGCTGGACTCAGAGCCCGTGCATGCCACCTGCAATGTACCCTCACTTCTTTGCGCGTGTCACCTGCAGTTTCCTGTGAGCCTCGCTAACAAGGCAATTAACTTTGTTCAGAGGGAAACCAACTCTCAACTCCCTGCGTAACCCTGTGACCCAGGGCTTTACCTTATCAGCCATGGTCCTAGCTACTGTACTCCGTAAACCACCTCTAAAGTCAGAGAAACCTTTGGAGATGTAAGTTAGAAGCCACTAAAACACATCCATGACTACCGGAAGGACAGTTAAGGTCGACTGCCCTTTTCTCCCTCCCTCATCCCTCTCCCCCTCTCCCCCAACCCGGCACATACCCACACCTGAGGTACAGTAGTGCACACTATCTTTTGCCCAAGTTACACCCCCCCCCCAATACTTAAAACTTAAAACTCAAAATTTCTTCTGGGGCTAGAGAGGGGAGAGATGGCATAGCAGTTAAAAAAGCTTCTGCCCTTCCAGGGAACCTCAGTGTTGTCCCCAGCACCCACACAGGAAGGCTCACAGCTGCCTATGACTTCAGTCCCAGCGGATCTGATGCCCTCTGCTGGCCTCTGTAGCTGGTGTGCTCATATGCCCACAGACACAATTTTAAACCTAATAAACCCTGATTCTGCTCCTCACTGACTTGCCCTGAAGTTCTTTCCTGTAACCTAGCCCAGCACGAACTCCCCAGCTACCCCTGACATAACACATTCTGACTGTACCCAAACAGAACAATCTAGAAGCCGGTGACACACTTCCCCAAGCCTACCCCCCTGAGACTTACACAACCTGCCCAGCCGCTTGTCTGACAGTCAAGGCAAAACTGCGAGCAACCACTCATTCTCCACCTGGCCAGGGCAGTGTGACCATAGGGGACCCCAGAGATGCACACATCCCCAATCTGCACACTGGCTCAATCCCCCCAAGCCTGCTGATCAGCTCTGGGAAGCCACAATGACGGGACAGGTCCGAGTCCCTGGCTCCGTTCAACCATTAACCCCATGTGGCTTCACATCAAACCGTGCCTCGGTTTCCTCACACGAGATGGAAACAGGAACACCTCCCCTGTGAGAACTCTGGCTCCGCAGAACATATCGAATGGAAATGGACAAAAACTTTTGCTATTCAAAAGGAAAAAGAAATCAACTCCTCTGAGCCAGAATTTGTCCAATAGAAGCTGCAAGCCCCATCCCCTCTCCAGATATATTTAGCTTGGTACAACTTTGTTTTTAATTGGATTTGCTTCCAGAAATAAAAATTTGAGAGATTCCCAATAAAACTTCACTTATCCAATATTTCATTATTACTATTACTTTATTGTTATTAATGTGTGGTGATCCTAGCTCAGTCATGACATGCTGACTATGTACCCCTTAGATCAGATGAAAATACCCATTTTTTCCAGACCCCACCAATCCTATCATCTCACAGAGTCCAGTTCACCCATTCTGAGGTGCCATCTGCTGTCAGAGGCATTTGGAGCCTTGCAATCACTGTGCCCTGGCCTGGGAGCTCCCAGTGAAGATGCGGAAGATGGGGGCCTCCGAACCCCATCCTGAGGTTAGCCACAGCTTAGCCCTTGCTGAAAAGCCCCAGAATCAGGGGAGTGAAGGTGTTAGCTCCGCCCATCTCTGTTCTTAGCTTAAGCCTGGTGAACCAAGCCACCAGCAGCACTGTAGCTGAGTGAGGCAGGCAGCTGCCAGAGCTGGGGACCGAGAGGGCAGAGCGGCAGGGAGGAGCAGTACAGACCACCCGTGTCCGGAGCCCACGTGGGCAGTTGTCCCCGTGTCATGGAGACCTTGATTGCCCACAGAGTCATCTGAGGTAGAGGTCATCAAGTGTATTCCGTATCTGAGGGCCTCAGAGCTGAGGCCTACTGGGGGGCCCCACATCTCAGAGTGGGGACAATACTACAGGTGTTGACCTGCTCGGTACCTCTGGGTCACTGGCTCAGAGTCCTTCAAGGCCACCAAAGTCAGCCTGGGAACCTCATCAGCCCTTGCCCAAGCACAGGTGACAAGAGAACCCAGCAGGACGGACAGGGTGGCCACCACTGGCTGCCACTGTTCCTGATTCATCCCGGCTTCCGTTTCTCAGCACCCATCCATCCTACTTCCAGAGCCGGTGAAGCTGGGGGCGGAGCCACACTAATGGATTTCTGTCATGTCTCTAACTGGGGATGCCACTTAAGCAAATCATCAAATTACACCAACTGCACAATTCCATTTGCTTCTGCAGCAGTGACTCCCTGGGGGCTGGGTGTGCAGGAAGCTGTCAGCTCCCCCCAGGGGCTCCCTCCGGCAGACAAGGAGAGCTGAGGAACAAAGTCTTCAGTGATTCTAATAGCGCACCAAGGGTCACTTCCTGCACCCGAGGCCAGGCAGCAGGCCGGAGCTGTACCTTCCCAGCGTGATGGGTTCAAAAATCCATTCCCTTCAACAAGATGGGTGTCAGAGGCAGCGCCCTGTCCCTGAGATGGAGATTTAGCCATGAGTCCATCTGTCTGGGTGGTCAGCTGGAACTGGCAGTTCACCAGCTGCCTGTGACCTCTACAGACTCTGAGCAATTTCGTTCCTTTTGATATCTGAGCAAAATGGTTTGGCTTGCCTAAGTATAAGACAAGTCAGCAACAGGGTGACCAAAAACCATGGAGGGCAGCAGACACTTGGCACCCGTGTGACAGCATGGAGGTACTTCCTGAGCCATCATGCCACCTTGTCTCTCAGCAGGTGAGTGGGTGGGTAATTAAGAGGAAGGGTGAGAGGATGGATGGACAGACAGGTAAATAGGTGGGCGGGCGGGCGGGTGGGTGGGTGGGTGGGTGGATGGGTGGATGGGTGGACGGGTGGACGGGTGGACGGGTGGGTGGATGGATGGATGGATATGGATGGATATGGATGGATGGATGGATATGGATGGATGGATGGACAGGTGAACAGATGGATGGATGGATGGATGGATGGATGGATGGATGGATGGACGGACGGACGGACGGACAGACAGGCAGGTGATGGATGGATGACCAGATAAATGAGAGAGCGGGTAGTTAGTGGGTGAATGAGCAGGTGGATGGGTAATTGAGTGGGGAGCGAATGGATGGGTGGGTAGGTAGGGGGTAAGAGGGAGGATGGGTGAGTGGATTAGTGAGTAGATGAAAGAGTCAATGGGTAGGTGAATGGATGGATGATTAAATGTTCTATTGCTGTGAGGAGACACCATGACCAGGGAAACTCTTATAAAAGAAAGCATTTAATTGGGCCTGGCTTACAGTTTCGGAGGCTTTGTTTTCATCATGGCAGGGAGCATGGCAGCATGCAGGCAGACCTGGTGCTAGAGAAGGAGCTGAGAGTTCTACATTTTGATCTGAAGGCAGCAGGGAGAGACTGGGCCTAACATAAGCTTTTGAAACCTCAAAGCCCAGTGAC